TACTATCTTTCTTTAACGGTTTCTTCCTGCACCAAATCCGATGACAGTGTGTATCATAAAACAAATGGTGTAAATTATTTATCTGAGGTTTGGCCTATCAACACAATCAAAGAAAAAGCTGGTACATAGAAGTCTGCACTTCTGACACAAGTTGAAACAGGCTCGACTCTGCTACGTCATCTTAAATGTGTCGTGTGATTTAGACAGGGCGGCACACCAGCAGAGGGTCAACAAATCCCCAAACACAATTCAATTCAATTCAATTTTATTTATATAGCGCCAAACCACAACAAATGTCGCCTCAAGGCGCTTCACACACCCTGTAAAATGGTCATAAATCACTTTTCACTAACTTAAGTCCGTCTCTTAATGTTTTTAATGATCACTGCTTTGCTGTTTGCAGATAAATGTATTGTGTAATGGTTTAATTGTCTTCTCTTAGATCAAAGGATGGAAATGCAACAACATGCTGTCACATCCTGTGTGTGATGGGAGACATCGCCGTGCATTTAAATGAAGAAACAAAGGAAAGGGTCGTCGGTAAGTTGAGTAAGGGGACGGATGGCGGGAGATTACTGAGAGAAATGATCTGAGTCTGTCTCACCGTCTCTCTGCAGCTGATCTGATGTCTTGGTTGAAGACTTTCACTTTGCCTTTGGAGGTGATCAGCTCTGCTGTTGAGACTCTTTATCAGTTTGGCTGCAGTGACGACATCAAGCAGACTCAGGTTAGAGAGATTTATCCTTCAGGGCTGATGTACTTTATGAGCAATGAAATCCTTTTTCAGTAACAAACAGTTGTTGGTCTCTGTTCTGTTTGGATGACGATCAAACACAAGAACAGTGTAACCTCGTAAGTTCCAGCAGGAAGCAGGAAGCAGTGCCAAAACTCCTGCCCTGCTCAAAGATATGACTGAAGCCCACTGTGAGTGTCTTGTGTTTTTGTCAGGCTTTTCTGAACCAGCGCTGTGGCGAGTTGGTGTCTGCCTGCGAGGCGTATTTGTCCAGCGTAATCCTGACTGACAGTGGATCTCAGGACCTCGATGAGGAGCTGATGGTGAGAAGAAACTCTTAGACTTCAGAAATGTCCTTATTATTGTGGCAGAAAGGTAAACTTTAGTCATTTATGTTCAGTGGTGTTGACACATCCTCTCCAACCCTCAGTATCTTGTGCTGTTGTCTCTGAAATGGCAGCTAGACAAGAACAATTGATCTCTTAACACTTAGTGTTATAGAGCAGCAGCCTGGTGATAGAAACCCAAACCTCGCTCTCCTCAGCCAACCTCTTCTAGCTCGCCTCAGGGAATAGCTAGCAGCTGCAAAAGATGATCTCTGGGCCGGCCCCTGGGTTTACCCCGGGGCCTCCTCCCAGCAGGACATGCCCAGAACAGCTCACCCAGAAGTCGTCCAGCAGGATCCTAATCAGATACTTA